TAATAACCTTTTAAATGATTCTAAATATAACTAGTACAGAGAGGCACTGGGCAACAACCTTGTTAATAACCTTTTAAATGATTCATTTAATAACTAGTACAGAGAGGCACTGGTCAAAAACCATCTTAATAACCTTTAAATGATTCATTTAATAACAAGTACAGAGAGGCACTGGTCAACCATCTTGATAACCTTTTAAATGATTCATTTAATAACTAGTACAGAGAGGCATTGGTCAACATCCTTCTTAATAACCTTTTAAATGATTCATTTAATAACAAGTAAAAAGAGGCACTGGTCAACAACCTTCTTTTATGGAATATATCACCTTTCCCTCTTACACTGGTATAAATTTGTCAGTGTCTTTAAAACCTGTTATCATTTAACTTTGAAACAGATCCTAAAAAATGTGCTTATAAAAGCATATTCAATTTGTATCACATGCTTCAAGTAACAGGTAATATTATAATCCTTGTTTTGAGTATAATTTTGCACATTAAGTGCTTGTTATCAGTCCTTTCAATCTCCTTTGCAAATATTTTCTCATTGCATATCTTGGCACATGAAGATTCATGGAATTATTCATTTATGAAATATTAAAGTAGCTCTTATTGGCTATAACACATTTCTCTAGCATATTTTTAATTTCTCTACAATTAATAGAAATACACAAACAAATTACATTCTGAATAGTTTTCCTTTTAAAATATTAAACTGGAAAAGTACTAGGTCACTGACACTAAGTCAAATTGTTATTTATAATAGTTTCCCTTACTTTGAAAATAGCATTATTGTCTCCAAGCGTATATCAAAATACACCAGTAGTCAACTATACACCATAATACTTAAAATATATGACCTAAATACCATAATGGCCACTAAGAGACTGCTAATTAGCTTCATACTGGTTCCAAATACTCTAGTCTAGCTGCATCGTTATGATCAACATTATATAACAAGGTTTCACACATTTTAGTCTCAAAAAAGGTTCATTACTAACTGGAGAAAAATTGGTTTCACATAAACTTTATTTAGTACAGTTGCAGCTTCATAACTAGTAGAACAGTGGTGTTAGAAACTTCAGTCCAGTTATAGCTTATTATTAGTTTAACAATGGTTTCACACAATTTACAGTGTATGTGTTCATCATTATTGTACTTTCTAGAAGTACTTTGTCAGAAAGTATATGCAAGAAAATACACAGCAGCATGTGTATGCACCAAATATGCACCAAAATGCAAGATAGAATATGTGAATGAAATACAATAATTTCTTATGGTGTTCACTCCATTGTTCTTAGTCCTAAATTAGCGATGCTAAACAATATGAATATTTATGTCCTTATATAAAAATATAAAAGGTAGGTCAGTGACATACATTTTATTTTATCAACAATGTGAAACCTTTACAATAAAACTTTTTAAGCTAAATTAATAAGCAAAAATTTTACAAAAGATAAAAAAAGTAAATATTGCACAATAAAATAAAACTTCACTTTCATTTAGCACATACAAAGTCATACATCCGAGTTTTATTGTTACAAAAATTGTTACAAAATAGAAACATTAACAATATATTGATATGAAATTACAAAGCTTAATACTTAATGTCAAATTATCTAAAGTAAATTTATAAGCATGGCACAGATAATTTAGTATATTTTATTAAACAAGTTTAAAAAATGTTGAAATTCATAAGTTCTTTCACAATTCATTCTGTTAAACTTCAATTTCAAATTAATGTGTATCACATGCAGTTAATCACTTAACTGTTCCTTGTTGATCCTATAATAAAATGTAGTATAACTTGTCAAATAACAAAACAAAAAAGATAAAACAGTTTTTTCCTTTTACATGTACCTGTCTACAATTAACTAACAAGTTAATTATTTATTCCTATAAAGACCATCAGGAAGACATTCGTGTGAAACCAAAACTAAACCTTTTGAAGGAATCAATACAAGTTTATGCAAAGAAAAAGTTTGCTATTTTTGTTAAATTTTCACATTTTTAAAAAACTATCCTTGAACACTATTCATAGAGAAATAACATGAACCTGTTTGAATGATCCTATGTAACAAATTCCAGTTTTCTTTACATCTTCAGTGAATTTCTAACAAAGATAGTTTCTGCAAAACAATACAACACATACAAATAAGCCTGTACAGTAATGTGATATTAAAATTGTTTGGTTCTAACCATTCACCTGCATGTAATCTTAGCCAAACCACACAAACAAAAATTAGAAACAAAATATGAAATTACTTAAGATCCTGTAGTTTAACTTTTATGAAAGTAATGAGCCAATAAAAAGGAAGTTTTAACTGCTACCCTTCAATTTAGCAAGCACATCAGGAAAATCAGTCTTTAACCTAAAACATCTACTCAAAGTAAGAAGGTGAGGTATAGATAAATAAGACTAAGGAGATCTGCCAGACCCCCTTTCTCTAAACCAGTTCTACTTTAATGAAAGATAAACATTGTTACTTTAAACAAGTTTTTATTACCCTTCTAATAGCTGTTTCATATGAAAATAACAGTATTTGACTCTAAACAATTTCTACTTAGCTTTTACAGAAATCAATCTTTTCTCAATCTGACATAATGAAAATAAAAATTATAATTTATTATAAATAATAAAATTTGATAAATCAAATGTGAGAAGAAGACTGAGAAATTTAATATTAATAGTAAAGTCTGATAAGAAAAGACTAGTTAACTGGACTGATTAGAGTAGTTAGGTTGTTATCAATGGAGTCCAGTCAAACTACTCTTGTTTCTAATGGAATGCCTCAGGGGTCAGAGATTGGATCTTTGCTTTTTGTTATTTACATTAATACTGATAGGGACATAATTAGTAAAGCTTGTTGTCATTGCAGAAAAACCAGGTTTTTACTTTCAGAAGTTCATGGTAAGAATGTAGACATATTCAACTCACAAAAAAGAATACCAACAAAAACTACCAACTATATAGTAAAATATCTCATCATCATTGTACCAACACCATTTTCTTCCATGCCAAGTGCCACAGAAGTTGCCATGAATACAGTTTTAAACAGGACTCGACAGTCAAGTGAGCTACAAAGAACACAAACAAACCAGAGTGCTGGAGGACTAGGAACAAGTGGATTTGGGTCAGGTTTAGGCACACATAGTGATTTTGGTTTTTAAGGTTCTCTGTTTGGTGAATTTGGGAGCCTGAAAGTATTTGCAAATGACTTAGTTATTTGTCAGAGCAACATATTTAGCTTTTGCAGAAATCAACCTTCTCTCAATCTGACATAAATGAAAAAAAAAAAGAATAATTTATTATAAATAGTGAAGCTTGACAAATCAAAGGTGAGAAGAAGGTTACAATTTCAATGTATAAGCTACCTGTTAAACCTTATTTGGATTATTGTGTTCAGTCTTGGGCTCCTTACCTTTAGAAAATCATTGAATTGTTGGAAAGGGTTCAAAGAAAGGCTATTAGGATATCTCAGATAGAAAGGTTGTCAAAATGATAGGTTAGTATATTTGAAATTGTCCTCTCTTGAAAAATGAAGATTTAGAGGAGATCTGATTGAGGTGTTAAAGGAATTGATAGTAAATATGCATTATCTTTTTCTTTTCATATTTAATGGTGAGAATGGTAGGAAAAAGAAACACAAATATAACTTTTTGCAGGATAGAAATCATCTTCAGCTAACAGTTTTATTTTTCTAACAAATGGTTGACTTTTGGAGTAGGATGCCACTGGATGTGGTGGATGCAGTAAATTTAAGGGAATTTAGGGAAAGGCTTAACAAATATTTAAGGGACAACTTTGAGGGTGTTATTTTTTAGTTTACTTGATGGGACTTGTCTAAGTGTTATATTATGTAATGATTTGGATCAATTGGCAGGCAGAATAAATATTTGGTAATTGATATTTAATTATAGCAAGTGCAAGGTAATGCAGTAGAACTATTATAATTTGAATGACATTTAATATAGTTGAGAACTCACTCAACAACATGACTTAAAACAATTATTTTGGCATAATAGAGGATAATTCACTGAAGTATATTCTTAGACACATTAATTAAAAGTCAAAAGAGGTAATTATCTCGTTTAACAAATCACTAGTTAGACCTCACTTAGCATACTGTGTAAAGTTTTAAGTTACTTATCTAAGAAAAGATATTTATTCATTGGAAAGGGTTTGAAGAAGAGCTACTGGGATGATTCCAGGGATAGAAGATATATCTTATAAGGATACATTAAGAATTCTTAACTTATTTTCTACTGAGAAAAGAAGAGTAAGGAGTAACCTTATTGAAGTTTACAATATTATTTGCAGAATCAATAGAATACAGGCCTCTACTTTCTTTGTGCTGTAATCTGAAGACAATATTAGGACAAGAGGGCATTAATTTAAAAAAACAGACTAGGCTACAGTTAAGACAATTTTATTTTTCTAACTTTTATTGACTTATGGAATTAGCTGTCAGCAGTACCTTACAGACACTTAAGACATGAATCAATGATTTCCTGAAAAAGAAACTGAGTTTAAATTTTTACTTTTCTCAGTGGTAGGTGTGCAAGAACAGCCTTGAAGCACCAACTGGTCCCTTCTTATTTGTAATGTTATAAGACATTACAGGTAAGATGAATAAATGTTTTCTTCAGGGATAAAACTGAAGCTCAGAAAAATGCTTTATCAAAATATCAATAAATAGTAAATTAGAAAAAACATTTCTATAACATACTTTAATTCTATTAAAAATTTAAGTTAGTTCAATATAAATAGTAATTACTACAAATTTACAAACTCAAAATTACCTGTTTCTAGGTAATTCAGTGAAAATATGTAATTAACTTACCATACACATGTGTAATGTAATTTTTAATTATGTGATGTTATTACAGAAAGGAATATAGAGCATTTCATAATCCAGTTATTAAAAGAAACATTGAACACATTCAAACTATCTTGAGCAAGAGATGTCACTCAACTAGATTACTTTTTTTTTTATTTTCTACACACCTAAAAAATAAAACTAATGTGGAAGTATCACTTTTTATTGCATTTGTGATAACATAAGACACCAGCATTTTCTACATAATTGACATATCTTAAAAGTTGCAGAAACCAGCTATAAACTGAAACCATATACATGTAGCTTCTTCAGTTTATATACAACTATAATGTGAACCCTAACACCTATAAAGTAGCATACATTTGGTCAACAATACTCTATCTACTAAAACCAATCAGTATTCAACTCTAGTGTCAACCTTAACATTCAAAATCATCATACTTCTGAACAATATCATTTCACCATAATCAATGTTTTTTATTCTAGTTTCAACTCTAAACACATCATCCTTCTGACTAATAATATTATATTGTTTCACCATAACGAATGTGTTAAAACTAGTATTAACTCTGGAAGCCTTGAAGCGTTCTCCTTCCGACTAATAATGTTTAACCATAACCAGTTTGTGTAAAAGCTAACATAAAATCTAGAAACCTAGAAGCATTATACTCTGACAGTTTTCTCTACTATAACCAAGTTATAAATCAAACACTTCAACCTAAATTCAGTTACCATCCACACTCTTAAGTTTAACTTCACAATGCCTGTTTTTCAAAACGAAAAAATCTCAGTCCTTTTCTGAACACAAAGCTTGAGTATAAATTCAAATGAAGACTTTTAAGCAGTTTTATTTGATTCAGTTTTTGTGGAGTGAACATAGATAAGAGCTTTAATATCTTAGAATAAGAAATGTTCTGTTGAAAGAAGTGATTCTGCTAAAAAGAGAAAAATAATTCTATGTGAGAACAGGAACATTAAGAAGTCTTATTCTGAATATTGGATTTCATGCGTAGATTGATTATTATTGCTCTATACGATAACTTTTGTTAGCATTTCTTTAAACTATCATGCTTTGTATTTTTCTCTTCACTAAAGGATGACTGAGCATTTTCTACACAGTGAATAAAAAAAAGTTAAAGCAATTCCTGTGTTTTACTTGTAGAACTTAATCAACAATGTCATAATCAAGTTCTTGAACAGTATATATTAGTTATTGTTGTTGTAAGAACTACAACAATTCAAGTCTTTAATTCTGTTTGGAGTATGGACAAAGTTTACAATTCAAAAATTTGTACTAATAACATTTATAGTAGTAGCAGCTGACTTGAATAATAAAATTGCATTTAGACTATTGAATTTCCCTGTATGCATTTTCTTAAGTTAAATTACTTTTTCAAAAGTTGTATGCACAGTTCATTTAATGAATTGGTGAAACAAGCAATGTGTATGATGATTTGGATTCTTTGGTGAACATAATGTTGATGCAACTTTAAATGAACTTTTTTTATGTTACAGGTGAATTTTTTTGAAACGATTGGTGGCTTACAAGTAAAAAACTTTAGTCATTTTTAGACATTTTTGTCTTTGAGGGTAGAGTGGCTTCCTGTTACGCTATCCAGTTGTAAAAAGATACGGTACCATTGTAACTTTTATACCTTTTTCTAAAGAAATTGCTGTGAAAGTAGCATTACTCACCTTTTAGCACTAGTACTCAAAGCTTTTGACATTTTAGGATTTAATTTTGGTTCTTTTTGTTCCTTTTCACGGTCTTGGTTAGACGATGAACCAGAACTACGTCCACGTCCTGCGCTCGTACTTGCTCCTGAAGACCCTGCTTGGGCTCGATCGCCTGACATTATTTTTGACTGAGCCTATAAAATACAATTTTCTAAATAAAATTGGTGACTTCAGCAATAAAATGAGACAGAATGGTGCATTTATTAATATTACATCGCAGTGAAGTTATTCATTCCAATATTATAACGTTAAAAGCTTGCTGATGAAAGTGATATTATAGTTTATACTGGGATTCGGGAAAATACCTCTGTTAAAAAAGACCAAAATACACGGGAAAACACGCCGGGCAGGGCAGAGCCGCTGGCCTTTGCAGACTACGGCAAAACGTGACTTCCAAACAAAGAGATGCTTCCTATTCTATAACCCTGAACAACACATTGTACCACATTTCTTAAATACATCTCACTCAGAAATCAAGATACATTTTCTGAAAAACATGCTTAAACCTTACCTATATCTTTGTTGAATAAATGAAGATGTAATATATTTTTAATCTTCCCAAAATGTATGTTGAAATGAATGAATTAACAAACGAACAAATATATATCGTACGCCTGTACGTAACGACGAAAGGCAAAAGATTTGACGAGCTGTTCAACCAAGTACTTCACCTCCCTTCCCTTCAAAACTTATAACGCCGCCTGTAGTATAGAAAAGACATTCACTTCGATGCTTTGACATAATAGTTTTTAAAGTAACAGAACTGAAAAACCTTTATAATTATATAAACTTCTAATAAAAACATTGAAATTTATTTCTCAATCATGCAAGTACCTATATTAGACAAAGAAAAAATGTATGTTTACGTTTAACGCTTTAGAGAAATGTTTATTGGTGTGAACTAGTCGTTTCCATCACACACACAAAAAATCTGAAGTTCTAATTTCGATTTTTTATGTCTAAATGGCTTTCTTGATTACTGACTACTCACTCCAGCGCAAATTATAAAGCACCTTATAATTTCGCTATTTATAATTAGAGAAGTTTTTATTACACATCAACGAGTGTTTCTCAAATTTATATATATATGTATATATTTCACATCCAAACTTTATATTAAAATATTAATGTCTGTTTATAACATGCGTGATTTCTTCTGCTTCTCAATATGTATATTTACCCATGTAGTAATAATTTCAACAGAAAGAAAATCGCTATGTTAAACCGAAGCTAATGTTTGAGTTACATCTGTTTTTCCAGAAAACTTACTCGACAACATAATTTTGTTTCATTATTACTCACTAACACATTTTTTTATAACGGCTAATGTTTTCGTCAGTTTATTCTACCTTCATACCAAAATTTCAGTCACAAGGTGTGCATTGTGTAGTAATTATTTTTAGCTTGCTTTCAGATAAAACTTATGTTACATTCCTATATAAAATGCTAGTTCAAAAACGAGAAAAAGCTTATCACTACTATCTAGCTCATTTAATTTTAAAACTGATAAAACTTAACACCAGGAAAAGTAATTGAATTAATTTCAATGGCATTATCAGCTTATTTTTTTCTAAGGCTTAATATGATCTAGTTTAATAGATAAAAGTAAAATAATTCATGTATTTATACAAAATAACGTTATCCTTATATGAGAATGTATAAAATAGCACATTTTCAGAGGAAGTAACTATTTTGTTGTACATTAAATAATCATTCGTGATGCACATGTTCAAGACTTTAGTGGCTTTAAGGTTTTGTTGGTTTTAATAACTTGCATCTTTGTTTTTAATTCAGTTAGTCAACTATTACAATATACTCTATATAGAAAAGTGATCTGTCCAGAAAACTGTAGTCATGTCAAACTGCTTGGTTTGTAAAAGGGAGATCATCTGTAATGCCTTTCCCCACTCTTTTTATATTTGGTTCTTCGTTGTCTCAACAATAAGCTTAATGGCTTATACAATTCTGGCCTTGATTTTCGGAGAGGGCACCGAATATTTAGCCTGTTGTGTAAGTTTCAGTTAAAATAAACAAATGTGTTTTCGAATTAAAACTAAAATGTGCGAAATTCACAGGACATTCATAAGTTCAAATCTTGAAATTGAAAAAAAAAAAAAAACTGGCAAAGCTGTTTTTGCGGAGAAGGTTGACTTTGATCTTTTTTTTTATTAATACAGAACGTTCACAACAAGTTATAAGAATCACAATTTTTTGCGCCATAAGCCCTCAGATTTACCACCGAGTGGCTAATCTGAATAAAACTAGAAACTTGTGTTTTGGTGAAATTTTTATTGTAATATGATATTTTTGTCGACTTGGAAAGAAATTTCAGATGAACAATATTCACAGCACCTTCTGAGGATTGCATATTTAACCTGGAGAAGACTATATGCATGTTTTTGAGGTGGGAAGTTGATTTTCATACGAATTTTTTATCGATTTGAAACAAAAATAATAATAATAATTCAAGTGTGCAATGCTTACAGCACTTTCTAAGGATTGTATTTCTAATCTGGGGAAGACTGTATACTTTGTTTTAGTAGAGTGTATGTGTGTGTTTATAGCAAAGACACATCGAGCTGTCTGCTATGCCAACCAAGGGGAATCAAACTCTTGATTTTAGCATTGTAAATCCGTAGATACCGCTGACCCACCAGGAGTCTTTTAGAGTATGAAACGGTGCTGCAGACATCCATTGTTGTCTCCAAACAATGGTTGAGTCTCGTAATATGTACGAGAGAAACAGAATACATGATACGTATAAGTATTGTCAGGATATATATATTCTATGTGTGGCACATTTATCATAATCATTTACAAAATGTTTATAATACCAGTTAGAATTTTTATTAAGAAACAATAGTTTATCTGTTTTACTCACAGAATATGTGTATATGTGAACAATAATAAGTTTTATCGTTTACTTACTTTTATTATATTACTCGGTATATTTTTAGTTCTGATCTATATAGATAGCTTGTTTTGATTTGTTTGTTTGTAATTAAACACTAAGCTACACAATAGGCTATCTTTGCTCTGCCCACCACGAGTATCGAAACCCGGATTCTAGCGTTGTAAGTTCGCAGACATACCGCTGTGCCACTGGGGTGGGCAGCTTGTTTTGATCAGAAATTAATATTTATTATAAGAAACATATAATTATTATGATTGGCGGGACTCATATTGATGGTTAATTACACTTCACGACATCGAGTAGCAAATGCTAAGGCAGTGATATGTCCCGCAGATGAAAACCTTGGTGCCACGGGCGATATGTGAATACTTTTTCCGAAAAGATATTCATAGAGCAGATGTTTCAAACGATGTTGAGACAAAAGACACAACATTTCAAAACAAATAATTTTCACTGTTATCAATAAAAGAGGAAGAACTTACACAGCAGAGAAATTAGCACAACGACAGGTTCCGAAACCACTCTCTTCCTTTGTCTGCAAAGCAAAAGAATGCCCTCTGGTCCCAAAAAAGTCATTGCAATGGAGCCAAGCTTCAAAATCACATTCAAAACTATTTTAGGTTTGCAAATATTCTTAAGGCAACATCTATTTAAGAAACTCAAAAGAATTACAAGTAATTGATGCCAATACTTAACATATGGAAAGCCTTGACAAAAATAATTAAATATTAGGTGTGGCCCATACTTTATAGTCGCTAAGAGAATTCACTGAATACAAATACGAAGATACAATGTGAAAGTGTATCTACAAGATGCTGAAACATTGTGAATTAAGCTAACTTGTAAGGAGAATTATTGCGACCGGATTTGTGACCACATGCTTTTGTGAATTTGAGGTATTTTGGATAGTTGAAAGATGTAACTGTATAAGAACGTTTGGTACCTTGTTTGTGGAATGGCTAAATAATTGTTTGAAGGCAACAGGTAAACATTTCCACCAATGTTGTGTTTTGTTGTAAAACAAACTTTGATTAGAGTGTATGTGTTTTGATGTCAGTTGTATTATAATTCAAGGCCGTAGGAAGCGGTAAGGCCAGTCAGGCCATGGCCTGACCACTTTTTCATGGCACGTATAGTTACAACTTATGCATTAAAACTTGCTTTTTTAATTTAATACACTACGTTGTGTCTACACAGTATTTGTAGTTAAAGTGGCTCAAGATTCAATCTCATAGCATTAAATTTTCACAATGTGTCAATGGCCTGACCATTCCAAAATTGCTTCCTACGGCAATGTATATTATGTCATGGGATTTATAAGATATTAAATTCCAGTGACTATGCAAGAATTTCTTGGTCAATTTGCAGGAATCGTTAAATTTGTTTTTGTTAGTGTTGTAATGGTTTATATTGTTGGGTGGTTCTTATAAATTATTTTTTAAAAGAATAATGGAAAATCCATTAAAACGTTTAATATTTGCAAATTCAAATTTCACAGTGTAACCAACGTTCACCGATAAGCCTTACTTTGTATTGAACTACGTCTAATAAAAATTGCATCTACTTGTAAATTTCGTATTTCTATTTCTTCGTTGAAACACAAACTCAGTATTTACTGCACTAAACTAATTAGCCACCTAACAAACTCCCTAACGCAATAGCAATTTCTAATAAACTGAAACTCACACACATTCTAACCTATACTTTCAACGCGAGATATGTCAGTAAATGATACCATTAAATTCTGTTGAGGTATAGATAATTTACAATAATGTTTTACAGTAGATATTTGAACTAAGAGTGTGAAACAGTATGGGTGTAGTACTTACACAAAAGTTCAAAATTTCTGTAAGACAATATTATATTTCAGAACATTTTAGCTTCCTTATAAATTATTTTGATAACACGAAGCTGGGAAATGTTTTTGTGCAAAAGCCATAAAAGTAAAATACAAGAAAAAAAAGGGAAGTTAAGTTACTATTCGTTTTTCATTTGAACGTGATATTAAATATGGAGCAATAATTAAAATGACTAACTGTGGCCAAATGATTACAATTTAATATTGATTTTTGAGTCGAGTAAGTCAAAATTAAATTGTTATCACTTGGCCATAGTTGGTCATTTTAATTACTGCTCAATAGTTGGATAAAAATAACATACTGTTTAAATGCCGAAAGTTTGTAAAGCATTAGAAACCAATAATTTTCTGATTTTTAATACGAAATGGCCAAATTAAAAGAAACGCGAACAAAAAACTCAGTTTACGTGATCTTTATCACAGATTTTAGACCTTCAAAAAATCCAGTTTTTGCTGTCAGATGATGCCAGCTTGAAACTGTTTCTTGGGCCTATAAGAAAAAAGGTTTAATTCTCGCGCAAAGTCACAGAAGGACTATTTGCACATAGTCAGCCTTAATTGTGAACTGATAGACCAGAGGGAGGACAGCTAGTTAACAGCACCCACCGCCAACTCTTGAATAACCAAGCAGCGGGATGTGAACTCACTCTTTTAGTGTACACGCGATCCCAAAGGTCGGAGAGCGAGTTTTTGTGGCAACGGGACGCGAATCATAAGCCTTCGGATTCACAGTCAGAGCACGCTAACCATTAGGAAGAATAACGGAGAAATTATTTCTAGTCGATCATATCTACAGCGAAATAATTATCTAACAAGTCAATACCCCACAAATATCGCGATACCAATCACATATTTTTATTCACACCTTA